TGTTAATAGATCTTCCACCAATCCTGATGCCACAATTCTCCTCATAGAGCCCAGCCTCTCGGATAATCTGCTCTGCATACATGTTGAAAAGGTATAGGCAAAGCCAAAAAAATACTTACAGAAAAAGATGTCATCAAACTTTACTTATCACAGTAAATCTATATTATGGTTAGGTTTTCCACAAAATAAACACTGTAGTTGTTGTTGATGATGATTGTTGTTGAGTCGAGCATGACTCATAGCAACCCTATGAACAAAAGACCTGAAGCCTTTCAATGACTATCATTTCTCAAAGTTCATAGAGTTTCCAGAGGCATGTTGTTTAGGAAGTGGATGCCACTCTTGCTTCCAAAAACACAAATACTACAGCCATTTAAAGAGATTTTTTTTAAATTAATAATGTGAAAAATGCTCTCAGCTAGCAGATAAAACAAGGCATGAAAAATGATACATTTCATCTCAGTTATGTAAAACAGGTTCTGTTTTAAGCATTAAGAAAGGAAGCCCATCTATTTATATTAGTTACGTAATGCTGCAACAGAAATATCACAAGCGCTTTAACAAACCATAATTTATTTTCTTATTTTTCATGAGCCAGCCCTGGTAGTGTAGTCTACAGACTGACCCAAAGATGGCGCCTCTCTGTAGTTCAAATCCACCTGCAGCTCTGCAGGAGAAAGATGGTTCATCTCCTCCTGTGTGATTTACAGACTCCCAGAAACACCATTTATGAAGCCTGCAATTTGCATTCAGGGCACTATATCTATATGGAGGTTCGCTCACTCTGTTGACTCACTGGGAAAGCATATTCATTTTTAATTCGATCATTTATACACATTTTGTTTTATAATATTACTTACAATACCCACAATGTCTAATCATTCTTGAAGTTCTTTTATATGCAATCCCTTCATAATTTTTTTTCTTTTTTAATAATTCATCTTCAGTAATATTCTATTATTTGTGGTGGTTTTAGAGACTTTTTGTTATTTTTTCATGTTTTTTCTCTTTTTAATTTTTTTAAGTTAAAAAAATAATGTTCTTTTTAATAGAAACAACATACGCAAACCTTTTAAGATGTTAGAGAACAAAACAAAGCAAAACCCTAACACGTTTTCCTTTATAGTTGTTGTTAGGTGCTGTTAAGTCGGCCCCAACTCATAACAACTCCATATAGAACAGGCCAGAACCCTGCCCGACCCCACACCATCCTCAAAATCTCTGCAATGTACAAGATCATTGATGCAGTCACTGTGTCAATCTATCCCATTGAGGGTCTTCCTCTTTTTTGCTGACTCTCTACTCTCCCAAGCATGATATCCTTCTCTAAGCACTGGCCCCTCCCGATAAAATGCTCAAAGCTTGTGAGACCAAGTACCCTTGCTTCTAAGAAGCACCCTGGCTGCACTACTTTCAAGAAGTAGGAGTGAGGTTTTGGCCATACAAAATGTAGTATACAAGCTGAAACTGCTAGGATAATTACTATGAATATCAACAAACAAGCAAAAATCCTGTTTCTAGTG